GCGTTGCTGGCTCATGCCGCGGTAGAATGGCGTCATGGGCAGGCAATGGGGATTACTAAGCTTCCCCTCTCGGATGAGCCACTGCATGAGAAAACCAAAGATCTAGTCCAGCAGTAATAGTATCACACTTGTTACTCCTTTGATTGAGAACCGCGTCGTAGTACGCTTATTTATAGGCACTGACCAGTGTTGGGAAAATATCAAAATATCAAATCTCACCAACGCCCAAGATCACTCTTGATTTTCGTAGACAAAAATCAACAAGCAAACAACTGCGGTTGATTTTGCAAGCTGTGATATCGCAGTTCGGAATATCAAGCTAACAAAACTCACCAACTGCAAATCTCACCAAACTGTGGTGAGATTGAGTTTAATGATTTTTTACACCCGAATGCAACCGAAACTTCCATAACGGCTTGCAGCAGTCCCTTCGCGCCTGCCATCGGTGAAAATTAAAAAGATATAGCTGACTATGCTTTCTCTTTCTAAGAAAACGATGTGCAATAGAATCATTTTTCTGTAGAGTCAACTCTCAGCTTGATTTTTGCACGTTGTGAATAGTCTCGCAATATCAAAGGAGCTTGTAAAATTAATATCAAGCATGATATTTTGTTCCAATATCACGCGTGATATTGCGAGCGCATGAGAGCGGAAAAATATCAATTGATTTCTCCAACAGTGCTCCTTCTATTTGTGTGACAAGCTTTCATTGTTGTTTTCATTGAAGTATTACTCCGGGAACACCACCACAACTAATCTTATATGTGCTTCATTTTGATTTGGGATAAGTGTTTGAACTATGGCTCGGGATTTCCACTGTGGCGTGCTTCTACCCGAGCAAAGTCTGAGATCAAATTGAAATCTAAATTTGATGTTGTGATTTCGCTGATAATGATTACTCAGGTTGTTGTCGTTTTGGTCGTTTTAACGGTTAAAATATCAAAATTGAGAGCAAACATATCTTCCTGTGACATCACATTGGAAACTAGTTCTGCTATCAGTGAGAGCAAACTGAAAACCAAATTTGTTATCCATTTTTCCTGTTGATAACAAAATAAGTATTCAATTTGATGTTATGCTAAGGCAATGAAAACAAACCCGTAACAACATATTTTTAAAGAGCAAATGTAGAGCAAAATGAAAACAAAATTTGGTATCAAATTTGTCAATGTCTAAACTGAAATCAAATTATGATTCAGTTTGATGTTGATATCAAAACTTGATATCAATTTGCTGTAATTTTGATGCTGGACTTTGCTCGGGTATTTTGCCATACCCATGTATTTTTGTGGTGCGACATAGTGGAAGCGTGTGAGCATAGTTGGAGCATATACCCTATATAATTTAAAAATCAGCTAGGAAACTAACTTCAAAATGAAGCATTTTAGTCTTTTTTGAAAGTGTCACCTAAGATATACTTTTGATAAAATCAAAAGTAATTGAAACACGTTTAAGTTTAGATTACAAGCACTAGTGCAGGTACTTAATAAAGCATGATTGATTAGGCGAATTAGAGATTTCAATTATTTATTAAATTAGACTAATGCGATATCGTAATCATCAAATGAACTTAAATAAGAAACTTCAGAAAGTCTAATCATCTAATAAGTTGTAGAATAAATCTTCTCAAATCTTCAATAAGAAAACGCAAGCAGACCATTTAGAATTACTCAGCTTAAAAAGGAGAGGAATAGTTTAGGAAATAAGTAAAAGTAGAGGTATGTGACAATTGATAACTTTTAATCTTTTGTAGGTATTGTTTTCTCCTGAGTTTATTGTACTCGATAACTATATTATCCTCTCAATACGCGAAATCTCTGATATATGCGGTTAAAATATTTAAGTTAGCTTATTTCTTATTGAACACGAAACATTTGCATTTGTAAACAGCAGTCAATGTTAATCTATGAACTAAACCCTACGTGACTGTAAAATCGATCCTTCCGTATGTGGTATTGATGCATGTTTAACTTTTTCGTGGCTGTCGGAATCAACGCGCCGCAATTCGGTAGAGCTTACCAAAAGTTTTTTGAGCTTATGTTGTTTAGAATTTGTTCTATACGGTCGCGAAATTTTGAAATGATTGATACGTGCGGCAAAATAACTAAATTGAATCAAAGCTCAATAGTAAAATAAGTAGAATATCTAGGGAGGAAACCAAAATTAATCAACTTGCCAAAGGCTATCACATTTATTTTGGTGGCACTCTTTAAGTGATAATAAGCTGTTTTTTTTTCTCTACGGTTGTCTCGCGTGGCGTTCGCAATTTGCGCGATTTTCGTATCTTACGTAATTTAGATGTTTAGCTCTAAACGGTTTTACTGACTCGAGGTCGTTCCTTAAGTGGTTTGGTGGCTGTTGGAATCAACGTACCTACGTCTGCGGAGCTTTTTTTTCCTCTGTTCGCGACCTAACACCACTACGACCAGTAATTTGATCTATTGTAGTATATCCCGTGTCCTTAGTTTAGTGCATGTCGTATTACTCCATCACTATTGAGAAATGATGAAGTATTCGATTTTTTACAGTTGTTGTCACATTTATCGCAAGGATCCGACTCTAATTGAAAGGTCCCGCTATTTATACCCTTCGGAGTGTTGAAACACCCTCTAAAGGCGTGCCCCTTTGTCAGCCAAAATTGGATTCCTTAGCAACAAAATTAAGGAATGACACCGATAATGACTATGCATCAGAACCCTGATCTGATCCAGGGATTCACCACATGACCTTGAACACACGTTCAGTTTTGGTGTCGTAAGTATGAAATTGATGCTCCTTCTCAGTAAGATACTTGAGAAGACGTTTGAATCTGTCCAATGTTTCAGCCAATACACGACATTCGGGGTGCCAATTTGCAGTGAAAACTTGAATTTGACGAAGGTCAAAAGTTCCGTGCGAAAAGCATGAAGATCGGAAGTGTTTATCCCAAGAGGGGGAATCTTTTTCATAAGCCGGGCACATATAGTCACAATAGGGGGAATCTTTTCCTTAAGCATTAAGCCGGGAAAGTTGATTGAATTTTTCCTGGACGTTGATCATTCGCATCATCCGTGAGCAAATCAAATTGATTGCTCAAATTAATTTCATCAGAAGGGGGATCAAAAGATTGCCCTTTTTTGCACTTAGGTTCCATGGCGGCAATAAAACTTTAGTCCAAATAGAATCCAAGCAGATTACTATAAGAATATGATGGTTTGAAGAGGAATTTTCCAAATCGATATCCAAGGATTACCACGAGTAGGGTCCAAAAAAGGATCGAAGAGGAATAAGAGTCGAAAAAGGTAGACAGTTTCCAGGTATATTGAGCACTGAAGTGCTGTTTAAATTTGTTGTAGCTTTAGGTAGCAGTAACACTTTTTTTCAGCAAAAAGCAAATAGTTCCGCACGGCAATAGAGCACGATGCGGCCTGCGTTTTAAATCAATAATTACGAAGAAATCATAAAACCTACAAAGTTACTACCAACGGCACAAATCTAGCGAACTGGATGGAGAATGTTTTGTAGAACAAATAGATTAACAGTAATGAAAATTTCAACTTAAAAACATTAAAATGTACGTTATTTGACAGTTATTTTGGTACTTTCAACATACTTTTCAATTTTGATGTATCATAATTAACTTAAATCGAGTTCTTCTCAAAGAAGCTTCAATAGATAAGATCTCAATCTTTCATTTGGTATTTTTAAATAAAAACACATTAATATTGAAAGAATATAGCTAATTAAATTTGGCTATAAAAAATAGAACAACTCACTTAGCAGTTATTTCCGACCCTATGTTTCATGAGGATTCTTCCATACCTTTAAGAGCCCTATCTACCCTAAAAATATATACAACCCACAACCCGGTACCAAACACCCTGTATATATAGTAATGACCCGATTTTGTTGACCCCTCGGCGCATCTGACTTTTTTAAATAATTTCACAAACCTCAATAACCTTCCTTCAAGTTTTTCAATATTTAAAAAAAAAATGTCGATGCTAGGTTAGAACAATTTTGTAATACATGTACGCAAAACTGGCACACTAACCCTAATGTAACAAAATAAATCTAACATTAGATGGATTTTATAAAAAAAAAGTTAAACAGAATAAAAAGAAGCACGTATCTCCAAAAACGGGAAGGTATTGTATCAAGCTTTCGCATATGTGGCAGATATGTAATTAGAATATAGGTAGCAAATACTTAATTTCAGATAGATTTGCAACAACATCTATTATAGATATAATAGGTGGGGAAATGTAGGTAATGTCGGCCTACATGTCCCTAATTTGGGCCCATCGCTAAAAGTCTGCTATTTATCAATTTTATCTAGATGAACGCGTCATTAGGACGGTACTAATTGATATTTTTGGTCGTTATTGAAAATTTAGCCGATGGCTGAATTTATGTATGGGCCCAAATTAGGGACATGTACCCGAGCAAAGTCCAGCATCAAAATGACAGCAAATTGATATCAAGTTTTGATATCAACATCAAACTGAATCATAATTTGATTTCAGTTTAGACATTGACAAATTTGATACCAAATTTTGTTTTCATTTTGCTCTACATTTGCTCTTTAAAAATATGTTGTTACGGGTTTGTTTTCATTGCCTTAGCATAACATCAAATTGAATACTTATTTTGTTATCAACAGGAAAAATGGATAACAAATTTGGTTTTCAGTTTGCTCTCACTGATAGCAGAAATAGTTTTCAATGTGATGTCACAGGAAGATATGTTTGCTCTCAATTTTGATATTTTAACCGTTAAAACGACCAAAACGACAACCTCCTGAGTAATCATTATCAGTGAAATCACAACATCAAATTTAGATTTCAATTTGATCTCAGACTTTGCTCGGGTAGGCCGACATTACCTACATTTCCCCTATATCATTGGAAAATTAAAACTTGCAAAGATTCACTTACAGGATGAATTATTTTTCTTTTTATAAGCTAAACATTAAAAATCAATCAATCATAATAATCATCGCTTTTGTTTTATATTTGTAGTTGCTGGAACAAGCAAAGCTTCGCCTGGAAATGTCCCTTGAAACCATGCGAAAAGAAGCCCGTAAAGAGGCTCAACAGCGCGATGATGAGTTTGAAGAGGTTCGAGGATCAGCTTACAAGAAAATCAAGTCACTGGAATGTCAGTTAGAACAAGAACACGAAGAACGAACTCTATTACTGCGGGAGAAGCACGAACTTGAACGGCGTCTGAATAACCTCGAGGAAAATGTACGAGTCGAGCGAGTGGCAGAGGAAGCAGCTTCACATAAATTAAAGCGTGATCTTAGAAAGTACAAAGCGCTCCTCCGCGATGCACAAACTCAACTAGAACGAGCAAAAACCGATTCTGCTGGTAAGACGCTGATACGACAGCTTCGAAACCAGCTAGAAGATGCTGAATCGGCACGTACCTCGGCCGTGAAAGCTCGTCAAGTAGCGGAAAACGAATTGCAGGATGTCCAATTGATGCTGGAGGAAGCTCAACGAACACGGATAGACGCCGTTGAGAAGGCCACTTCAGCTCTGCGCGACCGTAGTGAACTACAGGCGCAACTAGATGAAAACGAAGAAGAAATGGCTGAATTAATGAAAAAATTCAGTGTCACCGTTAAACAGTTGAGCTCCGAACAAGCGATCATAGCGGACTACGAACTAAGGATTTTAGAACTAGAATCGGAGCGAACATCCTTAAAAGAACAAATATCAGACTTAACGGCTCGACTGGAAAACGTGGAAAACATAGGCGATTCCCCATCGAGCATTCAAATCAAGCGTCTTGAATTACGTACCAAAGAATTAGAATCACGACTTGAGTTTGAACAAGCAACTCGTGCACGCATGGAAATTCAATTGAACCGACACAAAGATTCACTTGAAAAGGCACAAAGCGAAGTTGTTCAAATTCGTAGCAAAGAAATGCATGCACAAGATGCACTCAAGAAATCACAGAGAACTATACGGGAATTACGGGAAGAGATACACTCATTTGCAAATAAAGAGCAAGAAAATCTATCTAAGCGGAAGGATCTTGAGAAGCGTCTGGAAACTGTAGAGGCCGAATGCGCATCGGCGCGTGCTGATCTTCGGTTAGCATTGCAAAGAATATCAGACTTACAGCAAGCGATGGAGGAAGGAGACTCATATCATTCAGATAGGTAATAAACACAACATAATTATTCACTAATATTATGCAAATACCTACATAACATTTTATTTATACATTTTAGTGAAAATAGCGACAGTTCAATTGATTCAGTGAGTGATTTGAACTACCGAAATCCAAATAATATTTCGTTTCATCGAGAAAGGTATGACGGTATCAGCACTAATGCAATCGGTTCGAACCTGTGCAATCTAGGGGAAAATGAAAATATTCCAAGGTATAGTATATTATATACTTTATTATTACGCTATATAATAGGCCATAAGGTATGCATGCACATGAGACAGTAATGCGTATAATGGCATTATATTATCGATTGTCTTTAACCCGTCAAAATCAATGAAATTATTTGAGTGAAAACGTATATTTTTTTTCTATTTTAGAGTCACCCTTACTTCGTCGTCCATGACTTCCATGCCATCGGTGAAGGAATACAGTGAAAGCAATCGCGTCACCAATGGTGATGAAAATGGAGAGTCTTCTTATGCTTAAAATGACGTCTAGTACTATTCAAAAGGAAATATTTAAACAACAATTTAAGAACTAAAACAAGTTGTTATACAAATTTCTTAAAAATATTCTATGTCATTAAAAAACGCTGACTATCACAACTATTTTTTTTTCAAGCTGTGTTAATTGAATTTCACAGCTTTTATTCACGGTTGGCATACACATTTTTTTTCGCACAAATTGTTCATTTGTTAATAACTCCACACTTACTTGAGGAAACATGTATTTTCTTGAAACAACTGATAGAAAAGAGTTCGAGGTTCCTATGAGTACGTAAAACACAGGAGATTTGTATTAAGGTAGAAAGCTGTTTTCAAATTTGCGTCACAAAAACGAAAAGAGAAATAATCACTGTTCATTTCAGAGTACTAGGGGAAATGGATGTAATGTCGGCCTAAATGCCCCTAATTTGGGCCCATACATAAATTCAATAATCGACTAAATTTTCAATAGCTACCAAAAATATCCATTACTACCGTCCAAATGACGCGTTCATCTAGATAAAATGGATAAATAGTAGATTTTTAGCGATGGGCCCAATCTTAGATCCATAGGCCAACATTAGAGCCATTTCCCCTATTTTATATAATATCAATTGCTTAAAGTAAAATCAAGTTTCATCCACTGGGTGAACACTTATTAACAAAAAAGCAATTTGTGTAAAAAAAAATGACATGCCAACCTCGCTTTTATTGCTATATATCACCTTTCCAAGTGCAGTTAAGAAACCTAGCAGAAAGCTCTCCCTTCAAAATATATGTATATAAAATGCGCAAGTACACTAGTAATGAAATCTATTCAGCAATGGATTAGGCAACTGGTGTCGTCAAGCTAGAGCCTATCTATACCAGGCATGGGGTTAAAAATTACAAAGCTCATTTTCTGCAGCATCTTTAGGATATGTTCGAGATAATTGTTTTTGAAAAAAAACCCAAAGCCGTTCCTAGCTTTACTTTACTCCAATTAGTTTATTTGTTAGGCTCAAACGTCAAAATGGACTCTATGGAGCCAAGAACCATTTAATAATTTTATAATTACAATAAAATATTAATGAGGGACATTGTTTATGAGTTCTTCTTACACTTCCGACTGGCGACTTGAGTACAGCTTCCGCTTTCATCCGTGTCCTCAAACTCCTTTGCTTATTCCAATTATTTTTCCTTCAGCAGTGCCCACCGCTTGGCCTCCTCCTCGTCCTTTATCCGCTCCCTCTCGGTATAGTTAACTATCACGAATTTGTAGTAGAAGGGTTAACTACCCCATTCCCGGCCTATTAAGCACAACCCGCACTTAGTCTTTCTTAATCTAGCGTAGTTTAGCACCAAACGGAATGTTATTGTAACATATTGCTTCCAAATTTATTTACCTTTCCATATGTACCGTTATTTCTAAAAGGGGTCGCGAAATATTCATTTATTGTTGAAAATGCAAAACTGCTTCATGTAGCTCAACTTGACCTACGGGTTTTCTTAGGCCAATTAGCCATTGAAACGCCATTGGAATTCTCTTTGGCTAAGTGAATTTGCGTGCGCCTTTTGTACACTTCAATTGTGCCTTTTGTTTTCGAGATCTTATTTTGCGTTCTTCAACACAAGACTGCAAGACGAAAGCTAATTAATAGAAGCATCGTACCAAAAATTTGTTTGACATGTTTACGCCGAAATCATAGATAGATTTAATGTTTTGTGCTCGATAGGCCGGGAATGGGCGATTAGGCCGAATTATATTTTTCCCCTTATACGTATCATTTTTGTATTTGAAAACTGGCGGCTGCTGTTTTCCAACAGCTCTTACTTCCTCTCGGCTGTTCTTCTCGGCGTCCGGGACGTCACATCCATCACCACCACCTCTTTTTCCACGACCTCAACCGCTTCCTCGTTTGGCGATGCACCTCCAGTCAGTTGACTTTGAATGATCTATATTTCTTGTATTTGTTTGGTTTACATGTATGAATTTTCAAGTGACACAGATGCGTCTTTTCAACTTTAGTTATTTTGAAATTTTTAATTATTATTTACTGTTCCTAGTCCTATCAGGCCTGTTAAAGTATGACCACCTTAGTGGGATTGGTTTGTTTTGAATTGGAAAAAGGAGACTACTTAAAACTACTATTTACAGCTACAACTAATCTACAACTACTATATACACCTAACCTACTATATACAAATTGCTTATCAAAGCATGTTCTGATGTATTGCATTTCTGTACAAATTTGTTCCTAGTTTCGTTAATTTGAAAATCTACTTTCGGGATGTTAGCCTCTTGATGGAGGTCGGAAATGCGGGTATCGATCTAGGATCATCCTCAATACCCTGTTCTGCGCTACCTGTATTTTGTTCCTGTGAGTTTGTGCACATGATTCCCACACCGGAGCTGCGTAGAAGATCGCAGGCGCAATGATTTGTTTGTAGACAGCCAGTTTGTTCACCCTAGAGAGACGAGATCTGCGGCAAATAAGTGGATACAAGCACCTAACTAGATTGGAACACTTAACTACTGCCCTATCTATGTGCGAGCGGAAAAGGAGCTTTTCGTCAAATAACATACCAAGATATGTTACTTCGGTGGACCACTCAACCCTTGTGCCATCCATTATTACAGTACAAGAGGGAGCCGGTTTTAGTTTGGGAGATTGTCGATGGAGGAACATTATTGATTGGGTTTTGGAGGCATTGATTTTGATTTTCCACGTGTTGGCATAATCAGCAAAGGCGTCAAGGCATCGTTGAAGTTTGTTATTTCACGAGGCCTCCTTCCCTTGACGGTTATAGCGGTATCATCTGCGAACAGGAAGAACACGCAACCGTTGCCCAAGGGAGGAATGTCGGAAGTGTATATGCTGTATAGCAAAGGGCCCAACAGGCTACCTTGCGGAACACCTGCTGGGATGGAAAAGGTGTTTGAATTGCAACCATTCAACGATACCTTAAACGACCTTTGCTGGAGGTAGTTACGGGTGATTTTTACAAGATGTGGTGGAAAGTTGAAGTTACAAAGCTTGTACACAAGTCCGTCATGCCAAACATTGTCAACCACCACTTTTCAACATCTAGCAATGCCATGGCTGTGGACTTGGATACAGCTTTGTTACTTCGAATGTTATTCATCACCCGAACTAGCTGGTGATTTGTGGAATGCCCTTTCCTAAACCCAAACTGTTCAGGGAGGAGAATGTTGTTCTCCTCGACAAACTTGAGCAAACGATTGAGAATTAGTTTCTCGAACAATTTGCTCAGCGCTGAAAGGAGGCTGATTGGTCTATAGCTGGAAGGTAGTGATGGATCTTTACCGGGTTTGCGGATTGGTATGATTTTTGCTATCTTCCAGATACTTGGAAAGTAGTGCAGTTCCATGCATCTGTTGAAGATAGCAGTCAAAAGCGAGTACACTTTCGTGCTCAGCTTCTTCAATACCAAGTTGAATATACCGTCAAACCCGGGAGCCTTCATGTTTTTGGTGTTTTTCAGCGCTGAGCAAATCTGCTCCACTGTAATATTTTCTACCGGAGGGATGACACAAGCGGAGGCATCCAAGTTTTGTACGCATTGCGTCACCTGATTTTCGAGCGGACTTTGGATAGTTGAGCCAAGCAAATGCGATGTAGCAATATGATTACCAATCGCATTTGCTTTCTCTTGTGGGGTAATGAGCCGATTGTCATCATTTCCGACTCTGAGAGGAGGAATGGGTTTGGGATGAGTTTTCAGCACCTTGGCTACCTTCCAGAATGGACGGGAGCGGTCATCCAGATTCTGGACAACACGCCCGAAACTTTCATTTCGGAGTGAGTCCATTCTGGAAGCAATCTGCCTGTTCAGATCGGCCATTTCATGTTTTTTGCTCAGATCTCCAGTCCTCTGAAACTGGCGTCTACGCACATTTCTCAAGCGAATCAGTAACTGGGTGTGGGAATCAATAGCAACAAACTTACCCCTCACAGGAACTTGTCGAACGCATGTCTCGTCAGCCACGGATATGGCCTGGTGGAGTCCTTCCAGAGCCCGGTCGATGTCCTCTACGGTGTCAAGCGGCGGATTTTCGTTGATGTTCAGGTCTACCACACGTCCAAACTGGACCCAGTTTACGTGGTGGTAGTCTTTTCGTAGGATTGGAGCAGGAGCTATGTTGATGCTGACCTCAGCCACCACCGGTTGGTGATCGGAGCTTAAGTCGTTGATTGCCACCGGCTTGGATAGCCCGAAGTTCGTCAGGAAGAGGTCCAGCGTGGAAGGGTTTCCCGCCGGAGAGATGAATGTCGGTTCATCCGGAAATTGCACTGTATACAGCCCATGCTGCGAGTGGTCGAAGAGCAGACGTCCATTCTGATTCCGCTGATAGTTCCGCCATGCTTCGTGGCGGGTATTTAGATCGCCCCCAATGACGAATCGTGAGCTCGTGCGGGTGATAGCGGTAAGGTCGTTCTTGAATTTCATCCTTAGTCCGTTGCTGGCAGCACACTGACGAGGGCAGTATACGGCGATGAACCGGACGTTTCCGGTTGATGATTCCACCTCCACACTAAGGGCCTCAATGATAGAAGTGCGGATATGCGGCAGCGTGTAGAACTTTATTCCTTTCTTGATGATGATCGTAACACCACCACCCCTGGAGTCGATACGATCAAGCCGGATAATGTGGTGATCAGGTAGCCAAAAACTGTCACCGGATTTAAGGTGGGTCTCTGTTAGGAGGCCCACGTCGATACTTTGCTTGCGGAGGAAGTCAGCAAGCTCGAGTCTTTTTGCTCTTACAGAGCATGCGTTCCATGTGACGACAGTTATCGGTTTAGACACCATACTGAATAATAAACTTACCGAGCACTTGGATCTGTTCGGGCTTGCTGCGGCACTGACGAAGAGCACCGGTCATGTCGACGAAAATCTTCATCAGCTCATCCGCAGAGAAGAGATCGGGATTGGCGTTTTGTGCTGGTGGTTGTCTCCAGAATCCAGGGGGGATGGAGAGCTTTGTCCAGCTGAGGCAACAGACGTTTCTTGACGGGGGCCGGATTGCACCCGTGGATTTGCTTGACCGTGTTGCGTATCACGAAGAGGCGGGAAGTCCTC